GTGTGTGTGAGTGTGAGTGTGTGTAGATCAACAAGACTTATCAACTCACTAAACACTAACTCATCATGTGACTCAACACATGTACCAAGACTCAGAGCGACTCATTATAACTCACACACAGCAGGTGAGTCTCCCTGTGAGCGGTGGTGACACTTGGCTGGGAGTTGTTTAGTAAGTGACGAGCTCAGAGGCAAACACTTCCAGCAACTGAGGTTATGTATCACCCTCACCCCCTCACCTCCCTCCACAGGACCAACAAGCAATACCCTGGAGACACGTTGGCACACACACACACACCACAGTCATGATTTGAAAACTTGAAGGAAGAAACACAATTGTAGTGACCCCACACACCTTCAGCAGCCACAATGGACCTTGATTATTGCATTCACTAGATGTGGCTGCCGGGGTGAGCAGTGTGTGTGTGATGAAAGACACCGACAGACTCGTATAGTATCTTTATCCATCTATCTCTCTCTCTCTCTCTCTGCAGCACAGGGCTTGACACAGGTGTAAGAGTCATAACAGGTGTTGGTGAAACGTCATACACCTGTCAGAAGAGTGTAAACAAAACAGCAGCCTCACTCTTCATACTGTGTCTACCCGTCTGTCTGGCTGATGCTTTCCAGGTATACTATGTTGTTGTGATGGTACCCCCTGTCCTTGTCTGTCTGTGTATTTGACTGTCTAAATTTATGGCTATCTGTCTCTCTGTCTCTCTGAATTTGTTTGTCTATTTTAATGTCTATCTATCTATCGATCTATCTATCTATCTATCTAGGTCAGTTGAGGTCAAGTCTGGGATTTACAGGTCATGTTTACTCAAGTTAGGTCAGGGTCAAGGAGTTATAGGTCAGGGTCAGGGAGTTATAGGTCAGGTCAGGGAGTTATAGGTCAGGTCAAGGTGTTATAGGTCAGGTCAGGAGCAGGTCAGGCCAGAGAGTTATAGGTCAGCCAAGGAGCAGGTCAGGCTGGCAGAGCAGGCTGTGTCAGGGAGGTCAGGCCAGAGAGCAGGCTGGGGCTGGGGAGTAGGCCAGGCCAAGGAGCAGGTCAGGTCAGGGAGCAGGTCAGGCCAGGAGAGTTATAGGTCAGGTCAAGGAGCAGGCTGTGTCAGAACACAGAGAGCAGGCAATGTTATAGGTCAGGCCAGGGAGCAGTAGGTCAGGCCAAGGAGCAGATCAGGCCAGGGAAAGCAGCAGGTCAGGCCAGGAGCAGGTCAGGCTGGCGGGAAAGCAGGTCAGGTCAAGGAAAGCAGGTCAGGTCAGAGAGTTATAGGTCAGGTCACGTTAAGTCGGGCCAGATCCGGGAGATAATGACCATCGCTGGCGGGTCTTTCAGTCAAGCTCGGTGTTGCTGACATCACGAACAACAACAACAACAAAACGAAACAGACGAATAGCGATAAAAAATGACGAATAACGACAAAAAACAACGAATAACGACAAAAAACAACGAATAACGACAAAAAACAACGAATAACGACAAAAACGACAACTAGCCTCTACTGACAAGAAAATATATCCCCTGACCTTATTTTCCATCTACCATGACATTACACAACAAAACTCCCACACAAGGAAAATAATGGAAACAATTATCTTCAAGTTTGTTTATACTGGAGGGGAGGTCGTCCCTTCATCCGATACCTGCCTGAAGGAGGTACTTGTGTCCCTCCCTCTAAGTACTTCAGGCGATAAGAACGACTCTGTTTTCCTCACCATCGTCTTATGAACGCGGTGGACTGTTTCTCTCTAAGTTGGTCATAATTAAGACGATAAGTTTGGTGTTGAGTTTCTCTTGTCTTACTGAAAGTCGTCTCTCTGTTTTGTGTGAGGCAGGGGGGGGTAACTTAGAGGAGGGGAGGAGACGTGAGGAGGCGGAGGGGGCGGGGAGGGGCGGAGGGGCGTGGGAAGGAGTCTGCAAGCGGAGAGAACGTGCAGATGTGTGTTGGGGGCGTGGGAGGAGTGTGTAGGGGTGTGGAGGGGTGTGTGTGGAGGGTGTGGGAGGGCGTGGAGGGGTGGGGGTGGGGCGTGGAGGGGTGTGGAGGGGGTGGAGGCGGAGGGGCGTGGAGGGGTGAGGGGAGGGGCATGGAGGGGTCTGTGGAGGGGCGGAGGGGTGAGGGGAGGGGCATGGAGGGGTCTGTGGAGGGGTGCGGGGAGGGGCGTGGAGAGGGGCCTGATGATCTGACCTGCTTGACCTGTATCCTGTCTGGTGACCTGACCTGCTTGACCTGTATCCTGTCTGGTGACCTGACCTGCTTGACCTGTATCCTGTCTGGTGACCTGTTTATTTATACAGTCATGATCACGTTACGATGTTTGCCAGTCAACACGATAGTCGAGTGCATGAACTGTTGAGCACCAGTCAGTCCAGTCTAGGTTAGGTTAGGTTTGGTTAGGTTAGGTTAGGTTCTGAGACTCACATCCACACTCGATAATTCTCTTTCACGTCGACGGATATTATGACCATCACTCTCGCCCTGTGCCACTAAGGAGGTCTTCTGGTGATCTGCCAACTGTGAGGTAAAACAGTTCTTCTGCTCTTAATCACCTCAGCTGCCAGAGTCATTGGAGTAGGTGGTAATTCATCGCAAAAGGTGGATTATTTTCATTCTTCTGGCTTGTGTGTGTGTGTGTGTGTGTGTGTGTGTGTGTGTGTGTTTTACCATAATCTGTGTTAAATTAGCTCCTGTCACACACACCCTGAGTTTCCTAATCGAGTCTAGCATCCTAATCTGCCCAGTGTTTGTCCAGAGGGGAAATAGCCACTCACCTGTACTGACGTGTGGCCGCCCCCCCTCCCCCTCCTTCCCCCTCACAACATAAGCTCCTCCCCCCTCACCTCAACCACCACACACAAGGCTGAGTTTCGTTTATTATTTTAAAAAGTATGATTATTGGTATTGATGATCTTGAGTTGTGAATTTCCTTTATGTAAATATGAGCAATATGTGTGTGTGTGTGTGTGTGTGTGTGTGTGTGTGTAGGTGTGTGTGTAGGTGTGTGTGTGTGTGTTGGTCAAAAATAGGCATCACTCCTAATAGGTCCGTAGTGCATTAGGGTCGAGGTCCCATTATGACTAGGACCCAATCTCCTTAATGGAAACTTATCCTAATAGGCACCAATTTGGCACCACTGAAGACATGTGACCATAAAGACGTAAATTACAGACAAGAATACAGGTAGATACAGGTGAACTAACTGTAACCTATGACCATTACAGTTGATGACACTACCAGATGTTCCACAATAACAATAAAATGGTAAAGGTTGTACCATAAATAATAATAATAATAATAATAATCTCAAAATGACTTTCCAAAAATAACATTATTATTTAGTACTGAACAAAGACGTAACACGGAGAGATGAGTGTGTGTGTGTGTGTGTGTGTGTGTGTGTGTGTGTGTGTGTGTGTGTGTGTGTGTGTGTGTGTGTATGTGTGTGTGTGTGTGTGTGGTGTGTGTGTGTGTGTGAGTGTGTGTGTGTGTGTGTGTGTGTGTGTGTGTGTGTGTGTGTGTGTGTGTGTGTGTGTGTGTGTGTGTGGTGTGATTGAGTGTGTGTGTGTGTGTGTGTATGTGTGTGTGTGTGTGTGTGTGAGTGTGTGTGTGTGAGTGTGTGTGTGTGTGTGTGTGAGGTGTGTGTGTGTGTGTGTGTGTGTGTGTGTGTGTATGTGTGTGTGTGTGTGTGTGTGTATGTGTGTGTGTGTGTGTGTAGCAGAATTAAAAAAAATAATATCCCTTCATTGTCTAAACTCCAACAAGAATCGCTAAAATAATAATGATAATAATTACCTAATGGTAGATCATTATCGAAACACAACATAAATTGACAGAAATAATGATAATGCTAACTAATTATGTATCATTATCGGGACACACACACACACACACACACACACACACACACAGACACACACACACGTCTTTGCCGCCGCCAGTCCTTTCCCCTCATTGTAATTGATATTTTTATTCATTTGCATGTGAGGGTATGAGGGTATGAGGGTATGAAGGTATGAGGGTACGAGGGTATGAGGGTATGAGGGCATGAAGGTATGAGGGTATGAGGGTATGAGGGCATGAAGGTATGAGGGTATGAGGGTATGAGGGCATGAAGGTATGAGGGTATGAGGGCATGAAGGTATGAGGGTATGAGGGTATGAAGGTATGAGGGTATGAAGGTATGAGGGCATGAAGGTATGAGGGTATGAGGGCATGAAGGTATGAAGGTATGAGGGTATGAAGGTATGAGGGCATGAAGGTATGAGGGTATGAGGGTATGTGACAGAGCCTGATACTCTCGTCACCATCAATTAACCTGATCTTAATAACAGGTAAAACCAAAGGTAAACTCTACCTACAGATATACACACACATACTGACAAGTGTATATCTGTGTTTGTCATATACATATAACTATATCACTCCCATGTGAGACTAGAACCCACAGCCTCTCAGTGTAGTAACAGAGATCGCAACCACTCTGCCATACATAGGTGAGTTAATTTATCCCTCACCTGAACACAGAGGAAGAGAGATTCAACCTAGATTATCTTAATAAATTATTCAATGTTTCTGTTGTATAAATATATAAACGCGTCTCTATTCTTATTTATTTTTTTTCATCAAATTTATATAAAATCTGAGAAAATATTAAAAAATCTGAGAAAATATAACAAAATCTGAGAAAACATTAAAAAAATCTGAGAAAATATTAAAAAATCTGAGAAAATATAACAAAATCTGAGAAAACATTAAAAAATCTGAGAAAATATAACAAAATCTGAGAAAACATTACAAAATCTGTATAATGGAGAAAACATCACATCAACTGGTTCAGATTTCTCAAAGTGACGCTAATTCCCATCTAAATCTGATTACATCCAGGTGCTATGATGGTCAAGGACAGGAAAGATTAACACACAAACACCTTCTCTCATATCACTAACAGCAAATATCAAAGACACGTGCAGTAAAGATAATGAGAGTTCAATTGACTTACTAGAGAGGGTAGATGTTTTATTGTTGACGGGGGCCTCTAACACCTTCACAGACGCGCACACCTGAGAGAGAGAGAAAACACATTAATGAGATATTAACACACACCTGTACTAGAATCACACACCTGTACTAGAATCACACACCTGTACTAGTTAGGTTAGGTTAAATATGCAGGAAACACCAGATATTTACAGGATACTGATGTGTGTGTGTGTGTGTGTGTGTGTGTACCAACTCCCCACTAAGCTAAACAAGAGGAACAGGTGGTTAATGTTGTCCTCTTGCAGATGGTCACATGGTCACTGTTGTCACTATCAGACGTGGTGATCAAACAGTCGCTAGTGTGTGTGTGTGTGTATGTGTGTGTGTGTGTTCTGTGGTGATAGTGATGCTGTAGAAAATTTTTATCTACGAACCCCCAAGATTCAGACTCATGAATCCAAAGCCTTTAGGGGCATAATAATACAACGGGGGTTTATTTACTGGTTCGGGTTCACGAGTCTGAATCTTGGGGGTTCGTGGTTCAGGAGGAAAGGCGTCTGACAGGACTTTAGTTCGTGACTGTAGACGGTACGGGAGATGTATATACTGTCCTCTGTAGTCAAATAATCCTGTAATAAGGTAATTAAGCACCTGTCTCCCTCCCCCGTTATATATTACCCGATGTTTGAGACTAAACTACCAATTAATTACACCTTGGTCTCGCTGTTGTCAAGAGATCTTCACTCCTCAGCATCACACAGCCATCTTGATCATTTCTTTCATCAGTAAACACGACAAATACGTTATAATACCTGATCTATTCCCTACAAAACAAAATTACACCTTTTTGGCCAATATTAGATACAGGTGTAAAAGCCAGTTAACAAATATGATGTTTTTTGGGTGTGTGTACTGTGGCACTAACTATAACACGAGTCTTCACACACACACACACACACACACACACCAGCTTCTAACATCCAGTACCTATGTGTTAATTAAGGTATTAACTAATTTACCTGTAATAATTAGCCTATTTTAACGATCTATCATACGTCATATATTTATTTAGCCTATATTCTATTAATTTATCTAATATATAACAATCTATTTATAATGTTTACGTTTGTTCCAGTGTGGATGAAGGGGACTATTAACCCTCCTGAAGGTGTGGGTGAAGGGGACTATTAACCCTCCTGAAGGTGTGGGTGAAGGGGACTATTAACCCTCCTGAAGGTGTGGATGAAGGGGACTATTAACCCTCCCTAAAAGGTACATGGATGAAGGGGGACTGTGCCCTCCTGAAGGTGTGGATGAAGGGGACTATTAACCCTCCTGAAGGTGTGGATGAAGGGGACTATTAACCCTCCTTAAGGTGTGGATGAAGGGGACTATTAACCCTCCTGAAGGTGTGGATGAAGGGGACTATTAACCCTCCTGAAGGTGTGGATGAAGGGGACTATTAACCCTCCTGAAGGTGTGGATGAAGGGGACTTAGTGAACATTACTGAGAGATCTTGATTAATTACATCTGATCCCGACTCATTAGTTTCTTCTTAATTCTTGATAATTAGTGGAATTAAATTACAGACACAGACACACCGACACATACATACATACTTACATACATACATACATACATACATACATACATACACGGTAAAGAGGAGGTCATAAATATCACTGCGTTGTGTTAGCTCGAGTTAGTCCTTGGACGTAAGTGGCAGTATGCGGGTCCTCCTCAGCACCTCACACTCCAGTTGTAGGTCCTCCTCAGTACCTCACACTCCAGTTGTAGGTCCTCCTCAGCACCTCACACTCCAGTTGTAGGTCTTCCTCAGCACCTCACACTCCAGTTGTAAGTTGAATGGGGGAGTCCGTTACATAAAAAACCTCCAAATACCGGACTGTATAACCCCCAATCCCAGATCTAACTATCAAAGGGAAATAATAAAGCCTCGTTTCAAACCTTCCGCTGAAAAGGTATAATTCGATTGGTTCAAGGAGATAGTGACAGACTGATTTTACCTAAGTGAGAGAGAATCCCCTAGGATAATGTCATCGTTGGATCACTTTGACCAAACAAACTTTATTCTCCTCAGCAAATTGGAAACGATTTTGTGGTAATTTTCTCTCCCTCATGAACTGTTTCTCTCCCTCATGAACTGTTTCTCTCCCTCATGAACGGGTTATAACAGGTAAAGGTGATGTTGTTGACAGGTGATGGCTGTTATGGTAAAGCTCTTTCCTCTGTGTGTCCGTTTGTGTTATTGAACAACCTCCTTGGGTGTGTGTGTGTGGGGTATGTATGTATGTACGTATGTATGTATGTAAGGATGACCTCTCGACCATAACCCTAAATTATGATCATCCAAACTTAATATAAACCCAGTATGACCTTCCGATTCCCATATCCTGACGTAACCTAACCTGACCTATCCTGACCTAACCTAACCTGACCTAACCAAAAGATAGTGTTATAGATATCGGCATAGACAGCAACACAAGTAAATTTGCTGATGACATTAAAATAGGACGTGTTATTAAATCTGACGAGGACTCCGCAAAACTACAGGAAGATCTAAACAAATTTTTCGAATGGTCTAAAAAATGGCAGATGAAATTCAACGTAGACAAATGTAAAGTACTCAGTATAGGAGATGTAAACAGGGAAACCAGACACCAGATGAACAACGATGCCATAGAGAAATCCGACTGCGAGAGAGATTTAGGAGTAATGATAAGCAGGAACCTTAAGCCAAGTAAACAATGTGTTTTTGCTCGTAACAAGGCTAATAAAGTACTTGGGTTCATACAAAGGAGTGTTAGTTACAAGACTAGCGAGGCCATCCTAAAACTGTATCTTGCTCTTGTGAGACCACACCTGGATTACACAGTTCAGTTCTGGTCACCGTATTACAGAATGGATATAGAATCCTTGGAAAGAATTCAGAGGAAAATGACAAGACTAATCCCGGGCATTAGGAACCTTGAGTATAGAGACAGGTTAAAGCTTCTTAATTTGCACTCCCTTGAGAGACGTAGAGCGAGGGCGACCTGATAGAGGTGTATAAGTGGAAGTCAGGGCTAAACAAAGGGGACATTACAAAGGTACTCAAACTATCCAACCAGGAGCGAACTTGTAACAATGGTTTTAAATTAGACAAATTTAGATTTAGGCGTGAAATAGGTAAACACTGGTTTGGAAACAGAGTAGTGGATGAATGGAATAAGTTACCAAATATCATCATTAACTCTAATACGCTGGATAGCTTCAAACATAGGTTGGATGCTTATATGAGCAATAGGGGTTGGGTGTAAACGGGACTGCCCAGTATGGCCAGCTGCAGTTTCCTCCATTCTTATGTTCTTATCCCGTCTTTGCATCATGCCGGGCTTAATACAGGAGGAAAAATTATATGAATATTCAGGTAGAGTGAGAGATAGTGAGGTGAGGTGAGAGATAGTGAGGTGAGGTGAGAGAGAGAGAGTGAGGTGAGGTGAGAGATAGTGAGGTGAGGTGAGATGAGAGATAGTGAGGTGAGGTGAGAGATAGTGAGGTGAGGTGAGAGATAGTGAGGTAATGTTGTGACAGGAGGGAGGAAGAGGAGGAAATTGCCAACCTAAGAGTGGTGGTGTAGACCGTCACACACACACACACACACACATAAACTGTGCCTAGTAATACTCTTGCTCAATAAACTGCTTCAGTTCCACTTTAAATTAACTTAATGAAGCAGAAGACACGTGTGTGGGGGGCTACAGACCACCTCTAAGCCTCCTGAACTACACGTACACGTATACAAGACCTCCGTCTGGGACCGACAATTGTAGCGACGGTGATAATTACTTTCATCAAAGGTCCTGGCGTAGACACCGGTGGTGGTGGTGGTGGTAGTGGTGGTGGTAGTGGTAGTGGTGGTGATGGTGGTGGTGGTGGTGGTGGTGGTGGTGATGGTGGTGGTGGTAGTGGTGGTGGTGGTGGTGGTGGTGGTGGTGGTGATGAGGCCCTAACAATAACCCGACACAATATAGTGCTTTGATAGTGAGTTATGAGTGAGTCCGTCTTATTACTGTCTGCACCACACTATACTACCCACAGTAACCCACACCACTACCCACACCATCAGCCACACTAGCCACATCACTACCCACACTGATGAAGCATTGTATGCATGTATAAGATGTATATGTATTCCTTTGATCTCTCTCTCAGCCTCTGTAACAAGACCTTGATATATCTTATGGGAAGTTCTTGTTTACAGTTAGAGTAATAAGATCGTCCCCTTCCTCCTCCTCCTCCTCCTCCTTCTTCTTCTCCTCATCCTCTTTCCTCTCCTCCCTCCATTCCGTACTAGGTTAGGTTAGGTTAGGATCACATTCACTGCTGGGGTTGAACCAACGAGCCGCGGGACAGGCAGTGAGTGGTGGCTCCATTTATGGTCTGAATTCTTAAGTTTCTGACGTTTATTATATTTATGGATAATTCCCGCTCCTCCCAGACCTTCCTCTAACCATGTATGTATGTATGTATGTATGTATGTATGTATGTATGTATGTATATCTTACCATCACACCTAACAACTTCACACAGCAAGATTTTCGGGTTTACTTAAAAACATACAACCAGAGAGAAAACTACGTGCACGGTCCAGGAAAACCTAACCTAACCAAACCTAATCTAAGCTAAACCTAACCTAACCAAACCTAATCTAAGCTAAACCTAAGCTAACCTAATCTAAGCTAAACCTAACCTAACCTAATCTAAGCTAAACCTAACCTAACCCTAATTTAAATGCAAAGTGTTGGTGGGCCTCGCTCTCAGTGGTCATAGCCAAGAAAGAATAAAAAAAAAAAAAATATTACGTTTCCTTAAGAAAGTAAAAGATTTCTTCAAGTGTACTAAATTAATGTCCCCCCCCACACACACACACACACACACACATGTAGTTTATTATGGTGTGGAAGCTTAATGTCATTGTTGTTTATCATACGAAAGGTTGAGAATCCGTGATATAAAGGATGATAAAAGACGGAAGTGGAAAATATGATAAATAGAGAATGGGAAGAAGGAGGATAAGAAAAAAAAGAAGAGGAGAAGGAGAAAGGTGGAGGAAGAGAGGAGGGAGGGAGGGAGAGGAGTAGAAGGAAAGATAAGCAAGTAGGCAGGGAAGGAGAAAAGGTCAAGAAGAGGGAGGGAGGAGGGAGAGAGGGATAGAGAAGAAGGAGGAGGAGAGGGAGGAAGAAGAAGAAGAGGGATAGTAGAAGGAGGAGAGAGGAGGAAGAAGAAGAAGAAGAAGGGGATAGAGAAAGGAGGAGGAAGCAGGAAGAGGAGAATTTACAAGGGGGGTAAGGAAGGAAAAAAACCTCACTATATAACTTTACAGAAAAAATATTTAATGTTTCTTGTGAGAGTTGAGAGGAGGGAGGGAGGTGGGAGGTCGAGGAGGGTTCGAGGAGGTTGGGAGGTTGAGAGGAGGTGGGAGGAGGTTGGGAGGAGGTCGAGAGGAGGAGGAGGTGGGAGGAGGTTGGGAGGGTCGAGGAGGGAGGTGAGGGGGTTAGGAGGGTCAGGAAGGAGGTTCGAGGTGGGAGGGTTAGTAGGTGTTGGGAGGTGTTGGTAGGTGTTGGGAGATGTTGGGAGGTGTTGGTAGGTGTTGGGAGGTGTTGGGAGGTGTTGGGAGGTGTTGGGAGGTGTTGGTAGGTGTGAGAGGAGACGAGAAGAAGGAGAGGAATGAGAGAGGAGAGGAGAGGTTATGGTGAAAGTGGCACCACACGTCATATAGAGCCGCAGGTGTGAGGTCAAGGTGAGAACGAGAACATTAACAATATATTAACTAAACTAACACTAACAATAACTAACACTACAACTAAACTAGGTAACGCTAACTAACAATAACAAAAGGTAACGTAAATTGTATCAGCTCTTTACAAAATTTTCGATTACTTAAATAAAAATAAACGAAACTCTTGGAAATAAATACTTATCTCTCTTATCTTTCGTTCATTCTTACTTGTGTTTCGTTCTCTTGTAAATAAGTTGTCCACACACACACACACACGCACACACACACTAACAATAACAGTACTCACCAAAGAGGGTTAAGATGACGCGGCAGATACAACCAAACACTTGAGAAGAATCATTGGACAAAAATTTTTAAGGAAAAGTTTTACCAAGGACGAAAAATTAATTATCCTTTCAATAAACACAAAATTAATAAGTACTTTGCATCTTGTGCTGTACAAACTCAATAAACACGTAATATAGTCCTTAATAGTCTTGGAATATCTGAGATAAATTGAGTATTTCTAATTCTCGAAGATATTTATTTTATTAATCTTCATGAGGTGTTTTCTCTTATGGACAGCGGAGTGGGTAGAGGATGACACTCTTATGGACAGCGGAGTGGGTAGAGGATGACACTTGACCTCTAACGAGTCACCGCACACTACTGAGTCTGAATCAACTCCCCGCGCCGTGCAAACCTGTTCAGCTTCTCGTACTGCTTCACATTGCTGCCGGACACACGACCATGTATACCTGTGTGTTATGGACGACAGCTTCTAATGTTAGTTCAAACTGGTCAATTGCAAGAACGGTTATGGGGTGTACGATGCCATTTACGATGACCTTCTTGCCTTGGTCTTTTTCAGCAATATCGCCTTTAACACATGGAATCCTGCACTTTTCGAAGCTTTGGAGGAGTCTCGACACAAGTTACCTGGTGGGTAATTATTGGCTAGTGCTGTACTTGCAATTGGCCCATAAACGACCAATACAGTAGTTATGTTCTCACGTATATCGTACTAGAGGTAAGGGGATAGTAATCTAACCTAATTTAAGCTAATCTAACGTAATATAATCTACAGAAATCTAATCTTACCTAACCTAATTTAACCTAATCTAAGCTACTCTAACTTAACCTAATCTAACCTAAGCCAATCTAACCTAATCTAAAATACCCTAATCTAGCATAACCTAACTTAACCAACCTATTCTCACCTAACCAAACTTAACCCATCCTAACTTAATCTAACCTAATCTAATTTAATCTACGTTAACTTAAATATTATAGTTGTTGTGGAATTCTACCTTTAACTCTCTCTCTCTCTCTCGCTCTCTCTCTCTCTCTCTCCTGTCGAAAACAAAAGATAATTAATTGTCTTCTGATGCTAATTTACAATCACCAGAATGTCTTCCCTCTGATTATTCTCCTTACGTTCTCAAAAACATGTCAAAATGTTATTCTATATAATTATGAACGTCTATTACAGCTTTGGAACCTTAATGGCAAAATATATGGCGGTGAGGAAACCTTGTATTAACATTCTATGCATAGTATTATTATTATTATTATTATTATTATTATTATTAGTAGTAGTAGTAGTAGTAGTAGTAGTAGTAGTAGTAGTAGCAGTAGTAGTAGTAGTAGTAGTAGTAGGAATAATCGTAGTGGTAGTAATACTATTGTTGTTATTGTTTATATAATAACCCATTCAAGACCATAGTTATTAAAGCTAAGTTACATTAACCCGATATCTTCCCACACCTCCTGACTTAACACTTCAATATCACTAATGGTATACAAACTCTAACACCAGTATTATGTAAACTCTATATCCCTAATGGTATATGACCCCCCCCCCCTCCCCAGACAACCAAAACTTAAAAACCTTTGATTGGCGCCTCGTTAACCCCACGCCTGAAACATCCAATTCACAGGTAAAATGTTCGTTCGTCCTCTCAGGCAGCTGGTGAGTCGCTAATTACAGGTTACACAGTGTGAATCTATATTATATAAACTTAAATTAACTCTAGTTAGGTGAGATGACCTTCTTTGACCTTTGTTTCCTGAAAATATGGCACTTTTGAGGTGGTTAGGGTTAGGTTCTGTCACATTTCTTCTTCATCATCCATCCCCATCCATCCCCATCCATCCCCATCCATCCCTACACTATCAGCAGGTATAATACCGAGCAAATGATTGTTACCTGGAAATAATGTTTCTTTGTTATATTAAGAAACAGAAACTATACTCTCTCTCTCTCTCTCTTTCTCTCTCTCGTGTAAACATCAGCCGCGACACAGAGCCTTCATGTGTACAGTACATAACATCTACACAGACTAAACGAGATGCTGAAATACACTACAAACACCTTTTTGACTACACCTGCCCTGAGAGATATTACCATGGCGTCCTGTTGGTGACTTAACTACACCTGCCCTGAGAGATATTACCATGGCGTCCTGTTGGTGACTTAACTACACCTGCCCTGAGAGATATTACCATGGCTCCTGTTGGTGACTTAACTACACCTGCCCTGAGAGATATTACCATGGCGTCCTGTTGGTGACTTAACTACACCTGCCCTGAGAGATATTACCATGGCGTCCTGTTGGTGACTTTGTACAAGGCGCTACAACTGTCAGGACCAATTAGGCTTCCTGTATCGTTACCACAAGTTAAAATTAAAACCACACTAAAAAATTTATTCACTAGCTGTTAATATAGACACTACTATTCATTGGGTGTTTTTGGAAGAACTCAGAAAGATGTTAGTGCGTTAAGAGACCACAGGTGTTGGGTTTTCATTAATTAAGGCAGGTGAAATATTTTTATCTTGTGATTTTAAACTAAATTTACATCTGTATGTGTGTGCGTTTATGTGTGTGTGTGTGCGTGTGTGTGTGTGTGTGTGCTATGATAAATACCAATATAGATTAAACTAAGGTTACGCTACAGCGGGGCCTATATCGACTGGGGTCCATTAAGACTGGGGACACCACTTCGACCAACACCCGACAGATCATGGCTGGCAGGAATAAATGAAACCCGGGGTGTGAAGACCGTAGACTTTAACAAGCGAGCATCACCATCTGTTATTATTATTATTGTTATTAACACTACACCCACTACACTATCACCTACACAACACCCATAACACTTACTACACCATCACTTTCTCTGGCCCCCTCCCAATATAGGGTGAGCAGAGTGACCCTTTAAAAGAGGTTCTTCGTCACAGATACAAGGCCGGGTTACACACACACACACACACACACACACACACACACACACACACACACACACAGCTTCAGCTGGTATTAAGGTCAATTGATGTCATGCGGGTTGAGGAGGGGCTTTGAGCTTGACCTTTAATTCAATTTCATCAGATCTTTTGTCACTTGAAATATCGTAATTGTCTTTGTGCATAAGCTGTGCTGTTGCAATGGCGTATGTAATTAGTAATGTTATAATCATCTGTATAATTAGTAATGTTGCAGTAGCGATTAAGACAACCTACCGTTATCTGATGTTCCTGGACAAATAATGAGTGTAGTGTTGTATGAAGTGCGTTGTGTAAAGTGCGTTGTGTAAAGTGCGTTGTGTTAAGTGTATTGTGTAAAGTGCGTTGTGTAAAGTGCGTTGTGTAAAGTGTATTGTGCAAAGTGCGTTGTGTAAAGTGCGTTGTAAGTGCACTTCATCTCTTACAAGAGCCTTCGTGCCACACCATCTTATCACAACATTTTTCTCAACCATTTTCCTCACTAAATCAATATTTTTTTCCTTCTGGTGCCAGAATGACTGACTGACCACACACACACACACACACACACACACACACACACACACACACACACACACACACCACACACGCACACACACACACATGAAAGGATTTAGGTTAGCTTAGGTTAGGTTAAGGCTCCCGGACCCAACCATGATAACACCCGGCAGGTCTGGGAGGAGGGCCTGCCAGGGTGCTGACGTCACTGATAGTATACCTGTACAAAGCCAGGGAAGGACACTTAACTTCTCCTACTTATCTCCTCCATTCTCCTCCTCCTCCTCTCTTCCTTCCCCTTCTCCTTTCCTCCCCCTCCCCTCCTCTCTTCCTCCCATCCTCCTCCTCCTCCTCCTCCTCCCCCCACACTGCCAAGGCTCTTACCCCTGGCACCAAAAAATTGTTTCCTTGAAGTAGTCTTGCAGCCCCACACACACACACACACACACACACACACACACACACACACACACACACACACACACACACACACACACACACACACACGACGCAGTTTAGCTCGGGCAAAGATCAAAGCAAACGTCATTCTTTTGTTCTTTGGCAAATGTTAATGTTTTTTGTTAGGCAAGAACGTGTGTGTGTGTTTATGTATGTATGTTGGTTTTAAGAGAGGTTGTGGTCACTGTTGTGGTACAGAGAGGTTGTGGTCACTGTTGTGGTACAGAGAGGTTGTGGTCACTGTTGTGGTACAGAGAGGTTGTGGTCACTGTTGTGGTACAGAGAGGTTGTGATCACTGTTGTGGTACAGAGAGGTTGTGGTCACTGTTGTGGTACAGAGAGGTTGTGGTCACTGTTGTGGTACAGAGAGGTTGTGGTCACTGTTGTGGTTTATTGAAGAAGTTTGATAGAGAAGAAACAGGTGATTAAGACCACCTGTAGATTAGCCCCCCTCTGCTTCACCTTACGACTAATCATTCTAACCTAACCTAACCTAGCCTAACCTAACCTAACCTAACCTAACGTCAAGTATTACCACTACTGTCACTCTATACGCGATAAGAGCGACTCACATGATCTGCTGCCCGTGGTCAAGGTTGAGTTAATCCACCGTGTGTCTGGCCATGACGTCAGTACAGCACCTGGGGACACTGTCAAGTCGCTCTTATCATCTGACCCGATGAAAGGTCAGGTCAACAGGTTACCAGGTCTTTAGCAATCATGTTGTAGGATGAGAAGGATGAGTAGGATGTTGTAGGATGAGTAGGATGTTGTAGGATGTGAGTAGGATGTTGTAGGATGTTGTAGGGCGAGTAAGATGTTGTAGGATGTTGTAGGGCGAGTAAGATGTTGTAGGATGTTGTAGGATGTTGTAGGATGTTGTAGGATGTTGTAGGATGTTGTAGGATGAGTAGGATGTTGTAGGATGTTGTAGGATGTTGTAGGATGTTGTAGGGCGAGTAAGATGTTGTAGGATGTTGTAGGATGTTGTAGGATGTTGTAGGGCGAGTAAGATGTTGTAGGATGTTGTAGGATGTTGTAGGATGAGATGTTGTAGGGCGAGTAAGATGTTGTAGGATGTTGTAGGATGTTGTAGGATGTTGTAGGATGAGTAGGATGTTGTAGGATGAGTAGGATGTTGTAGGATGTTGTAGGATGTTGTAGGGCGAGTAAGATGTTGTAGGATGTTGTAGGATGTTGTAGGATGTTGTAGGGCGAGTAAGATGTTGTAGGGCGAGTAAGATGTTGTAGGATGTGAGTAGGATGTTGTAGGATGTTGTAGGGCGTGTAGGATGTGTAGGATGTGTAGGATGTGTAGGATGTGTAGGATGTTGTGTAGGATGTTATGTTATTTGTAAATCAAGAGCCCATTCCCCAATTATGTAATTGTATATTTTCAGCCTTCCGGCTGCCATGCTCTTTCAATAAACCGTAAATTATTATTATTATTATTTATTATTATGTGGAGAAAATAAACACAAACCTGAAATACTGTACACTGACTGTAATTGAGTATGTAAAAGCATTAACACAGGGTTCACCATAAAGCATTTATTAAGTTAGTGTATTAAAAACAGTGAAGAATTAAGAGAGTTTTACCGGAAGGAAACATCAATATTTTGTAATATTGTAAGTACAGTACAGTACAGTACAGTACAGTACAGTACAGTAAATTAATTACTTATAATTACTTGTCTTAGTTATTACTTTTACTGAACAGTCTTATATCAGAGACATTTCTTGCTTTTAATACATTAATTAACTAAAACAGTTATTTAAAGATATTATCTTTCATCGACTCTGAAGGAGAGTTCCAGCATTCACTGTAGACTGATCATCAGGGCAAGATGATCATCCATATTTCTTTGTGGGTCAGTGATGGCGATGGTTCAAGTTGACGGCGATGAACGATGATGGTGTTAGAGAAGTCAAAAGTGGAGTCATAATTAACACTCGGACTCTAGTGGTAGAGTATAGCTCTGTATGGAAGTGAATAAAATCATTAATACACAAGTCTGCCTCTTACATACAGTGCTCTATATAGACACAACAACTAGGCTAACTTTTCATGACTCCTCACATAAAGCAGAGAACAATAAGAGATGCCCCTCAAAAAAGTAAAGTAAAAGAAAGTGAATTTATAACTTAATAGTGCAAAAGCCAGTGATTTTTCCTTACATGTTTTACATACAATATTAGCCAACACACACACTCTACCACTGTACCAACAGCATTATACAAACAAAACAAAAAGGGGGACTCGGCTCACCTCGGTGACGGAAAATTCTGGTTGGTAATAGTCATAAACTTTGACTGTGCCGGGCTTGACATCTTCAACATCAACCTCCCTCAACATCTGGAAGTTGACACATATCTCTTCAGATGAGAACTGATCGACGTAGAAGGTAACTTTACTGCCATCTACTTCATATCTTTTGAGGAGTCCAGCGCCATAACCCACAATCTGCTTGAGATCTGACTTTTCAGGAATATAGCCAGACACCAGGTTGATCTCAATGACTCCCATGTTAGTCGTGTTGTCTGGTAGTTGGTAAGATGCACAAGCCTCGATCCTTTTTCTCTTACATTCAGGTTCAGCTGCTGTGTTGACATTCAGATTAAATGCTTCACTTGGGCTGGCATCAGGGATATTGTACCTCAACACAGCCTGTGAAGATAACACAACAGACAGTAGTGATATATGACACCTGTTACTGTACGAGTATACCCTCATGACTCGGTTTCACCACGGGAGCCAACTGTTGTCTGTGACTGTACATATTTACCATCAAGTAAACACAAAACCAACTCACCTGAACAATTGCACATCCTTCTCCTGCCATGTCAAGGATAACATTAGTAGGCAATGTGGGAAGATTCACCATTTGTTGAAGGAGTTTGTTGTCTTCGTTAATGAGGAAGTTGTGTTCGAGACCTCCTGCTTCCACTGTCACTACCAGATCCTTAGTGGCCACATCTTGTTTACTCTCAAAAGTTGCCAGAGCTTGTAAGGCAACCACAGTATCCTAAGAAACACCAATTAAGTCATTGTTTCATGACATGTTAATCTATCACTAACAGTGTTATAACAAATTTCACTGTGAACTTGTGGTCAGTTGCAAGTTCACATGTTCAACTGTTCTACACGTTAACATCATCAACAAGTTCACATGTTCAACTGTTCTACATGTTAACATCATCAACGAGTTCACATGTTCAACTGTTCTACACGTTAACATCATCAACAAGTTCACATGTTCAACTGTTCTACATGTTAACATCATCAACAAGTTCACATGTTCAACTGTTCTACACGTTAACATCATCAACAAGTTCACATGTTCAACTGTTCTACACGTTAACATCATCAACAACATACAGCACTATGGGTAAAAATATCTGGGTTAGTTGTTGTTCTGCTTCATCAGATATTTTCTTTTATGACCTAATGCTGTAACTCTCCACTGATAATTTTACTGAAGAAATAAAGAATCATATTTCAAAACTGTCAGAATAAACCGTTTTTAATTCCAGACAACGTCCCCATTCAGTTTCCAGCCACCACCTCCCACCCAATATTCACTAACTAGTAGGAGGTGTCAGCTGGAACCAAGCATTCCCAGAAATTTGGTGATAAAGTCTTTACTGGTAATTGCGAGAGCATGACGATTATGTATCTCCACTCATATCACCTAACCTAAACACCCCTATGCTAACCTAACCTAACCTAACCTAATACAAACCAAACCAACCTAACCTAACCTAACCTAACCTAACCTAACCTAATACAAACCAACCTAACCCCAGTTACCAATAGTGTGTTTAATGATCAGGTGACAGAGGCCTATTGTTCATGCAATAAATTAACTGTTTTGAAGACTTGTTTCCTGCACTGATATAACCTTCCTTAAGACTATAGATGAGTAACTGTACCTGTGTGGAGACAAAACCTCCTTGACCATTTCTCTTTGAGGAGATCCACTTGACTATCTTCTTGGCCTGATAATCAAAGCGTGAAGCATTCAAGGTCAGCATGGCTAACACAGCATAACCTGCTGTCTCCACTGCCACACCTTCACTCTTACCTGAAACACATCCCAACCTTACGTCAGTGTGGTAAATCTTCAAGTCAAATAAAACAGAACTTACAAGCTGTACAAGAGTTGCTCTTTGTACAAAAGTTATTCTAAAACAATCATCTTATTTAACTCACATGAAGTATTACACATACAGCTTATGTGGGAGCGAGATCAGATGTACCAAATAATGGTGATAAAAGTCATTTCTGCCTCAGTTTATTAAAATAAACTTAAATTTCATAGGGTATTCTTTTTCACTAACTTACAAAAGTATTGCCCATCCAGGAAATTAAGTGAAGTAAGTGTTTATCAGTTTAAATCCAATTAGTGCAAATGTGTCCATACATACTGGCTCCAGCAGGAAGTTCCCAGTACATGGCAGCATTGGTTTCCACAGCCTGACTGATGAGTTGCTGCATCACTGTTTCTGCATCAGGTAGCCTTGCTAAAGCCAGAGCATATGCCTTGAGCGCTAGTGTGTAGGGATCCTGGGTATCAACGGCAAGCAAGCAGAAGGCTGCCTCACTAATATGTCGACCACTTGACTCACCAGCCTCCAGCAAGGAAATAAGTGCATAGGAAGTCAAAGGCACAGGGGAATCATTACCCTGAATACCACCCTGGAAAAATTAATAAAATTAGTTTACGATCTTGTTTCTGAAACAACAGATTTACTCAAGAAAAGTAGTTAAAGTTCCTTTGGTACGAGTGTGTTTCCCTTGTACTGTCAATCAATTAATTTATACAAGTGTGTGTGTGTGTGTGTGTGTGTGTACTGTATATGCATGTATGTGTATATGTGTGGGTGTGTATGTGTGGGTGTGTGTGTGTGTGTGTGTGTGTGTGTGTGTATATTTGTCTGTACTTTATGTAATAATAATAATAATAATAATTAACGGTTTATTGAAAGAGCATGGCAGCCGAAAGGCTGAAAATATACAATTACATAATTGGGGAATGGTTCTCTTGATTTACAATTGATGTACACGTAATATAAGTGATACAAATAAGATATATAATAATTAGGTGTTGATAATTTTTACAATGGTTGGGACTGGGCTGTTCTTGTAGCAATCAGTTCGTGCTCGTATGGGTTGGATGCGGTTGGGCTGGTGTATGTATGCATGTGTGTGTGTGTGTGTGTAAGTAAATTAAAACTCCCATAACATTACTTTACAACTTAAAACATACAGTATACCTTCATGTCTTTGTGGAACACTGTACCCACTGACTCAAAACACCCATTCTCCATCTGCTTCCTCCGTACCCAGTCCACACTCATCCTCAGGTCATCGCTGTCAATCTGTGGATCACAATAATTTTATATCAGTTTAATTTTAATGTTTCTTTTTTCACTCATAACAAAGGCAAGAAAATAAATGCCGTAATAAGTGATACATGATACATAATACATGAGGGATGATACATTATGACTGATACATGATACATAATACATGAGGGATGATACATTATGACTGATACATGATACATAATACATGAGGGATGATACATTATGACTGATACATGATACATAATACATGAGGGATGATACATTATGACTGATACATGATACATAATACATGAGGGATGATACATTATGACTGATACATGATACATAATACATGAGGGATGATACATTATGACTGATACATGATACATAATACATGAGGGATGATACATTATGACTGATACACGAGGACTGATACATGATACATAATACATGAGGGATGATACATTATGACTGATACACGAGGACTGATACATAATACATGAGGGATGATACATTATGACTGATACACGAGGACTGATACATGATACATAATTATGAGGGTTGATGCATTACGACTGATACATGATACATAATACATGATACATGAGGACTGACTACAGCCCTACTCACCTGGATAAACTGACGGGCCAAAGCAAAGGACTTGAGTACAAAAGCTGTGAGCCAGGTAGAACCAGATGAATCCTTACTCCCAAATGCACTAAACGATCCATCACTGTGACGGTAATTGAGCTCTTGTTGGTAACCTGAAATATCACATAAATATAGTCAAAACACAGTAAATCAGCGTGCTCTTTAGTGATAAGTACATTGTGTGTGTGTGTGTGTGTGTGTGTGTGTGTGTGTGTGTGTGTACTAATTTCTTTTTATTTATACTATAAGTTAATCCTGAACAAAAACTTAAAATACAGTAACCTGAAAAAGTATCCCATAAAATGAGTAGAAATATTTTTTAACTCTCTACTCCAGGCAGATGTGAGGACTCGCTAGAAGCCACTGGGGTGTTAACATAACCCATTCAACTCACATATTGACGACTCTCAAATTCTAAGTAGATTGTTATTAATGTGTTTTTTTATCTAAAGTATACAATGATATTTTCTTTATTTTGTTATTTTGGAAGTTAAACATTCAACTAAGTGCATCTGTGTAAGTAAAACTCAACACAATTTTCTGGTAGGTGAAAGGGTAACTTGCATCACACACTAAACAGGTAACCGGGAAATCCTCAAAACCAGTTCGGTCTTGATCACAAGGGTCCCGGAATTGAGGGTTTATTTACACTTGCACTCAGTAACTTCTTAAACTATCTTAATTATTTACCTTGTTTCATATACTCAATGGCTTTCTCACTAAGTTCTGGGGTGGTAAGGTTTGTGGCCTCGAGATATTGTAGAATAAATATATTTGGGACAAAGTTGATCATGTTTTGTTCTCCACATCCAAAAGGCATCTTCACCAGAGAGCCGAGGTTCTGAAATAAAGAGTTTAGTAAGGACTCAGATTTATGAAAGTACTGTATGTAGATCAATATAAGTACACTGCAGCATTTTAGGTTAGATCAGGTTAGGTTACGTTAGGTTAGGTTAGATCAGGTTAGGTTACGTTAGGTTAGGTTAGATCAGGTTAGGTTACGTTAGGTGAGGTTAGATCAGGTTAGGTTACGTTAGGTTAGGTTAGATCAGGTTAGGTTACGTTAGGTTAGATCAGGTTAGGTTACAATAAAAGGGAGGGAGAGTTATGCTGGGAGGGAACAAATGGTGGCAGAAGGAGTTTAGTGAGGACACACACACACACACACACACACAGTAATAAGACTTCTAGGAATGAAACAAAATGAATGAACCTCAAGTGTAGGGCCCAGAAGGTCACCAACAGCAGTCACCCAACCACGTGTAGAGTCACTCACTATCCCTGGTGGCAGCTCAATCTTCCATATTTCTAAATAGTCCAAATTTTCCTCGATATCTGAAAATTTAAGCAATAATGGCTGATAAATGTATACGAGTAAACAGGTTATATATACAAACTTTAATATTTTCTTGGGAAATTTTTGTGTTGGTACAGGAAGAGAAGCTTCAAAAAGTATCTTTACGGACACGACCAATGAATGTCAAAATGAACACAGCGACTCCTGTTGTCTTGGTAGGGTTATTAAAGTCCTTTGTCTGTTGTGTCACGTTGTCTGGAGTGAGTGCGCACAGGTTTGGTCTATCTGAGGTATGACAATATTACCACTGGTGAGGATTAAGGAGCTTCTTCTAATGTGCCAACAACATGAATTATTGTACAGCTGTTGTGTTCATATGCCCAGGAAAACAAAAACACTTTACGCATATCATTCATGGCTGCATAAATTTGCACGGTTGACAACGTTCATGACAAAATACCGTGGAAAGGAATATTTTGTTATGTGTGTATACTTTGTTATTAGTTACTGTACTATATATGCAATGAAGACACTTAGAGAAGTGTTGGTACTGGACAGTAATTTAATAGAAAAAATAAAATGATAAGTAGACAAGTGGTGAAATAAAACAGCAGTCAAGGTTAACTCACCAGTTGAACAGATATATTTGGTCCATGTGTTCTCCACAGGGAAGCCCTCAACCTCCACTTTGATGGGCTTAATCACAACATCTCTGTAAATATTATTTCTCTATATTATTTCATAGGTGAATAATGAAGTTGTTTTTTTTTAATTTCATCACTGATCAGTTTTCTTGACATTCAGACAGTTGGTCCATTCTTTGTTTATGACCAATATTGCCCAGTGTTAGTACAAGAGGAAACTGGCATACCCAGAGGAAATCTGCCATGCTTAGTCGGGTCACACTGGCTAACACCCTTCTCACGTGTGTCCGGGACAGGTAGGACTCTAACACCTAACATAGCAGTGAGAGCTACATACATTAATGTTGCACCTCCAGCATAAAGAATTGGTCCTACAACTCATTACCTGCCTCAGCTTGGCACTATGAAACTCAAGAACTAACAGTCCAAGGAGGTTAGCCTCACTAAGTCTTATCTAGTAAAACCCACATAATTCGAAATAATAGAGACTCTTGCCTCTATGAATCATGAGGGACACCTACCAAGGGTAAAACAACAACAGTACTTTTCCCTTATCAGCACCAAGCAAATTATAATGTTGCTAAGAACACTACTTGATTTAGGGTTATCAGTAACTAGATATTAACTAACTAAGATACAATTATACACACTACTGCCACCTGGGTTCAGTGCCCTCCTGTGTCAGAGGTAAAAAGGGTGTAATCCAGAGTATTTCCTACCGAATAACTTGGCCTTTCTCTGTACTAGCAATGGACCCATGAGGATGGATACATAAGAAGGGTTGTCTTTATCCACAGCTTATCTAATTAATCTAATGACAAAATAAACTTAAGATGACAACATTACCCTTTGTGTTTTGTATGGGATCCCCTCTGAGCTGAATAAAATCATCTGGCATTAATAATAAGATACTAAAAGCGGTATCTCTTTAGTGAAGGGGTTAGTATCTACAGTATTGTATTATCTTTAATCTATTACTCCGAGAAACATTCAATCATTAGTTTAATCTCTATTGTTGCCTAATCTTTAACCTTTTACCTTGAGTACTTATATAAAAGGTTTCAGGTGATTCAAACAATGACATGCAGTACTGAGTCATTACACTCACCTCTTGCTAATGACATACTCAGAGCCACACACCTCTGGGTATAACTCATCAACAAAAGCTCTAACTGTAATGTTAACATCTCCATGAACCAATGATCGGATCTTGACTGTGTGCACCTTCTTATCTTCTGAAGGAATACAGTCACTGTGCACACCATGAGACTCTATCACATATTCACTACTGTCTTCAAGCACAACCTTTACCTGCAACACACAATAATGGAAAAAATTAGGAAAACAATATTTTTCAAGGTACAAATTGTGCATTTTTCTATGAATAAGTTTATTTACATCTCTGTTTTTACAGAAATTTTTATTACAAATTATATATACCGTATCGCTCTACGAACGTGGCAGAGTGCATTTCTTGTGTCTACCCAGAACCGTCAACTCGTCAATTCTCACTACAAGTATCTCTGTACACCAACAAGGTTTATATACGAACATAATTTGATTTTCTTTTGTTTTATTTTAAAATATGGAAAACTATTATAAATTCCCCAGAACAAACTAAATGGTTAAGTTCATCAACAATTATATTTCATATTCAGTACTGTACTTTTAATTTACATAAAAAATAATTTGTCATGAAAAAAGTGACTATAATAACTAATATGTAAACAAAACAGAACCACAGTAGACACTTTACCGGTAAGTCTTCCTGCAAGAAGTTAAATATGGAAACCTTGACGGGGAGAAGCTCGCCACGCTTCACAGAAGGTGGGAGAGTAAGGTCGATGAAAAAGGGCGTAAAAACAGTGATAGAGGCTTCTTCTGAGATGCCAAGACCCTTCTCTGGATGTATGCACACAGCCTTCCCCACCCACTCAGTTATAGTGTCTGGTACTGTCACTGGTTCACTACTCACACCAGACGAGCTGTGTAAAGTCACAACACAATTAGTGACGCTTCATTAATTCTCTCTAAATATTTGTTTTCTTTTGTTCTTTTATAATATCAATCCATAAACAAGCAAAACTTTGGTATGAAATATTGCATTAAAATCTTAGACTACATGAAACAGTTCAATCACAATACAGTCACATCTCAATTTACTTGGGTTTAATTTGCACATTTTTAAGATAATTAATGCCTACAGTATTGTTGAAATAACACAAAGTTTTTTTTGAATAGCGCAGTTTTAAAAAGAGCGCCAATACACCAGGCAGCTTAGTTCAGTACCTCATTGTTTTCCTACTTTGTAAAAAAGGAAAAGTAACATCACCTGAACCCCCAGCCATCAACATCTGGCATCTTGAAAGTTCCCACTTCTCCTCCCCCATCACCTGCTTTGTCATCTGATTCAGGTGACTCCTTCCCCCAGTAACCTCCCACCTCTCCACCACCACCACTATAGTATTTCCATGCTAACTTGCCCCATAAGCCACGCCCCTCTTCTATACTAATACCTGATTGGTTCAAACTAAATGTGTTCACAATAGGTAATCAGACCTCAGTCTTCCCAAGACTCTGCGCTGGTCATTCGTGGTCGCAGACGTGTCTCAACCCATCCTTGGCTTCGACTTCTTCACCTTCCACAAGCACGGCGTCGACCCAAGCCATCTTTGCCTCATCCATGAGCCTACAGCACGCAAGATCCAGGGTTCACGTGCCAAAGACACCGACACTATCACCTGTCTCTCGCCGCCCAACGAGTTCTCCCCCCTGCTCGAAGAGTTCAAGGAACTTTTCTCACCCCGAGTCTCTTCACCCCCACCACCTAAGGTCGGGAATTTTCCACCACATCGAGACCAAAGGACCTCCAGTCTTCTCACGCCCTCGCCGCCTACGCCCTGAGCTCCTGAACACAACCAAGGCGGAATTCAACAGACTACTGCAAGACGGCATCATTCGTCCTTCAAAGAGTCCCTGGGCATCGCCTCTTCACATGGTTCTTAAGCCATCATCCGGCGACTGGAGGGTGTGTGGCGACGACAGAACCCTGAACCTCGTCACCAAACCTGACAGGTACTCTATTCCGCATGTCCAGGACTTCCACCACAAACTTCATGGCAAGACCATCTTCTCGAAGATCGACGTGGAGCATGCCTTCCACCATATCCCTGTAGTACCTGGAGATACCCAGAAGACAGCCATCACCACTCCGTTTGGACTCTTCGAGTACACTTTCATGAGTTTTGGCCTACGCAATGCAGCACAGACTTTCCAGAGGTACATGGACCATATGCTTCGCGACCTCGATTTTGTCACCGTCTACATAGACGACATCCTCGTCGCATCTTCGACGCCTGCCGAGCATCATCACTACCTACAACTCCTTCTCCAACGCCTGCAGAACAACAACACGAAAGTTCACCCTGCTGAGTGCGTCTTCGAAGCCCCCTCCATCGATTTCCTCGGTCACAGAGTCTCGCCTAGTGGCATCCAACCCCTACCACAGAAGATAACCGCCATCAGGGAGTTCCCCAAACCTGAAACGGCGAAGAAACTCCGAGAATTCCTGGATTTAGTCAACTACTACCACCGCTTCATTGCCAACGCTGCCACCGTCCAAGTCCCCCTCTACGACCTTCTCAAGGGACTCCCAAAGACGTCTCACAAGCCTCTCGTGTGGACTCAAGAGGCTGTTACGGCATTCACCACTATCAAACAGCACATCACACGCCTTACCCTCCTGGCCCACCCCGCACCTAACGCCCGGACCACTCTCACAACAGACGCTTCTTCTACTGCAGTGGGCACCGTCTTACAGCAGGAGATCAACAGAATTCTCATGCCCATTGCATTCTTCTCACAACGGCTTCAACCACCATACCTCAAGTACAGCGCCTTCGATCGAGAACCCCTGGCCGTATACCTGGCTGTCAAGCATTTCTAGCACTTCCTCGAGGCCCGTCAGTTCACCATCTTCACTGATCACAAGCCCCTCATCCACGCCTTTGCTTCAGCCTCCTAGTCACATACACCTCGTGTCCTGCGCCACTTGGCTTACATCTCGGAGTTCTCCAGCGACGTCCAACACATTAAAGGCAGCCACAACGAGATCGCCGACGCCCTCTCTCGTTGTATATCCAACATTCTTCCCTCATCTCCTCCCATTGATTACGGGCAGCTCGCCGCGGCTCAAGAGAATGACGAAGACCTGGCAACATACAAGACATCTCCCTCATGCCTCACACTCCAAGAACTCCCTGTGCCGAGCACGAACATCAAGTTGTGGTGCGTACGTTGTGAGGCCACAACAGTACGCTACAGAGTATTGCATAATAAGCTTCCTGGGCTTTTTTTTTTAATATTTATTTAATAATGTAGATGTAGTTTATGTGACATCATGTGTCATTTTTGGAAGGTTAAGTAGGTTACCCAAAATCATCGTAGAGTAAAGGACTGGCGAGTCCTGTACAATGTGGTATTTTTAACACAGGTTAAGGGCATCGCTTGCACAGATTTCTAATGTGCGGTCATGTACCAGTACCATACACCTGCGCAAAATGAAACCCCACCATACAGCAGAACCTCATTATTCTGAACTTGGCTATTATGAGCTTCACCTAATTCAAACAAACTTCAAGTCTGAATGAACAGGTTATCTCTTCTTTGAATCACTCATCTAAATTCAAATTATATCATCCTCATTCGAACTTTACTGACTTTTCTCCAAAATTCCAGCCGCAGAGCCACCACTCATGGGAAGTCCGTTGACATTGAAATGATCTGATGCAAACGTCAGTTGTCTGACATTTCCAGGATAGTCCCCTTAATTATCTTTGCTAATAATGATGAGTTTAAATCACGGAAAGGAAAATCAGAGAAAAATATAAATCTCTTTGCATAACAGATAAGGTGAAAAATAATGAAATACTTGAGCAATAAACAGCCCTTATCCTACATTATGCATCACCACATTTGTTACAGCCCCTTTATCCTGGGTTTGCCTAGTGTACCCCTAGATCTCTCTACCAAGCCGATGGGAGAAATTTTGAATTGTTTCCCACCTGTGAGCTCAATGTTATGGTTATTTCGGGTAGATATACAGTACATAATTTACTGATTTGTTTTGTTATTCAGTTTGACTGTATCGTGGTTGTCCTGCTTCACACACACAAATGGGTCACTTTTGTTGCAACACTTTCTACACATCAATCTGCAATGAGGAAATATAAAATGCTGGATGCAAGGGCATGCAACTCATTCATATTCAATCAAATTCTTCATGCTTAATAAGACTAAATTTCTCCATACCCAATTAGTGATAATTTCCAAAGCCATGTTTCTGGAAAGTATTTTCGTGCAGTCTGGAATTTATCTTGATCAACTGACTGAAGTATCTCAAATCTTTCAGGCATCTCCTCACTGAATAAAAGGTCAGCCTGGCCTGTGATGTCTCTTGAAAAAGACACTGTTAATGACATGATACCACTGTAATAGAAGTGTGAAGTAAATCGTTGAAAAAAAGAAGAAAGAGAGTAGGTGAAAGAACAAAACCCTGTGGAACACCACTAGTTATATAGCATCATAAAACACAATTCCTTAGCTATAAGGCATCATATAACATAAATCCTAAGTTATAGAGCCTCATATAGCATATAAATTAGGATTATCTGTCAGAATAAAACAAATTCAAGAGTAAGAAGTACAGTACAGTAGACCCTTGCCATTCGCGAGTTTGACGATTCATGGTCAGCAGATGGTGGCTAGCTTGCAATCCTTTTCCCACAGCACAACGAGTCACCCACGCAGCATCTCGCGTTGTACTCTCAAAACTTTAGTGTTTCTGTGTAAAATGGCCCCTAAATGACTGCCTAGTGTCAGTGCTAGTGGAGTGAAGTGCAAAAGGCAGAAGTCAGTGATGACCCTGACAAAAAAAGTTTTACTGATAGATAAGTTAAAGGCGGGGATGAGTGCTGCCGCGGCTGGTCAGTTGTTTGGTATAGGTATACAGTAGTGCACTAAGGTAGTATAAGTTACTATTCACCGTTTTGCCAATTCGCACCATTTACTGTATTCAATATTCTTCCCCCAAAAAACTTCAACCTCTAACAGAAATTCTCCTTTCTTTCCCTACAGTTTTTATTCTTTGGTAAACCAGCATAGATGACCGTACTGTACTCTTTATGTTCCAGCACTTCACAATATTCTTCACAGAACTCATTAAACCATAAACTAAAACCTATTAGTATAATTTTGTTCTAATGTGAAGAAAAAGAACCACAAACTTGACATATATTTGACCAAAACCCTATTCCAGAATCACACATTATTTCATCTCTCACTTGCAGAAATAAAATCCTCCATCCCAGGCATTTTCTGGATACTGGGAAAATTTTCTAAAGTTTTTCCAGAAAATGTGCCCCTCTGAAAATCTTTCCCAAATCTAGAATTTTCCGGAAAATTCAAAGCAAATTTCACTTCCGGCTATTGGAGAGTTCCGGTTAAGAGGGATTCCAGCTAACAGAGATATTATTGGTATTGGGAGGATATAGTCAAATAAAATAATAGCAATATAACATGTATAGTTGCCACCAGATGAATGTGCGACACCTCAGGGTAAGAGATGTGGCAGTGCAGCGTCTTAGTCAGGGTTGAATCCATGGGAGTGAAACAGTGAAATTACCCGGTTTGTGATAAGATATAAACAATAAAAGAGGTAATAGGATAAATGAACCCTGTAATACATGTCATGCAGCATTGTTGTGTAGCTGCAACACCAGGAACAGGGTAATTCACGGTTTTACGCCCACATCTACCACGCTGCTTTGCCCCGTCTCACACCCGAGCCCTCAAATACTCTCAGGCCGCAGTATATTCATGTGGAGGCAACGATACATCATCCTAAGGCTTATCTTAAAATGTATGTCCTTAATTTATCATCTTTGACATCAACTAAGTATTTTCAACAAGCATCATATAGTTTCTCACACTCCCTAGCATTTCCACTTACCCTAGCAACCCAAATATGTGTATGAAGTTTATACACCCAACAAGGTTTTTGTTTGCAAACATGTGTATGAACATTAAATTTACGAAAATATATATAATTTTTCTTTTTTACATGAAATCATACCACTAAAAGCAGCTGGGATACATGCAGGACCTTGGCCTATCAGAGTAGGTCTATGCTGTAAAGGTAAACCTCGATAAACTATGGTACTAGGTTCCTGAAAACCCATCGCTAGGTGAAATATTGTAGATAGGAAGCATTATAACAAGGGGGTCAATGGGATACATTCCCAGCCAGTCCCCAAACACACATGTATCACTGACAAAAAAAATCCTACACTTATCAAATCAATATAAAACAATTAAACAAAAGTGCTCACTTTACAGTCAGAAAAATAGAGCAAAAGCACTTGTCACAAAAACAGAGCGAACGACAATAATGGAAAAAACAAAGGTAGCGGCTGACACTGCTCACATCATTTTCACAACAGAGGCGAAGCACTTTACAGTCACAAAACAAGAGAAAATATCACTCCATTCACCATAACAGATCAATCTAAATGTTAGTGCTGTCCTCTCAATATAAGAAGAAATACAGATCTATCTGATCTATGCTAGGACATTTTCCCAAATCCCGTACCCTTCAGTTTATTCTCAGCCTTTCATGGGGTACGCTGTCAAAAGCCTCGGCAAAATCTAGGTATATATTGTCAATATTTCTGTCTTTTTCTAGAATTTGAGTCCAAGCATTTAGTACCTTGAGTAATTGTGTTAAGCAAGGTCTTCCTAACATAAAACTGTGTTAGCATTCCTTTACAAAGTTCTTTCGTAGCAGATGTTCCATCATGGCATCTCTTAGATGCTCTCTAGTATTTTGCACACTATGCTGGTCAGACTCACTGATCTGTAATCATTCCTAGAGTGACGACTGTCCTTCACGAATATAAGACTCACACAACCATCTTCCAGTCATCAGGGACCTTTTGCTCATCCAAGCATTTGCAGAACAGGATCCTAAGGGCTCCACAAGCTCATAACACAGTTCTTATACCCTCTTTTGAGCACACAATGTGAGTCAGCACTGTGTCAGACCTTCTTTCCTCAAACACAGGAAGATTGTTCGCATCTTTTCTTGTGAACACCGAGGAAAAGAATTTGTTCAAGTCACTGACTTGATGTAGAAAAATATGCTTTTCATTGCTGGAATCTTTGTAAGACAGTGATTAATTTGAGTATATGCAACCCATAGTTGGCACTAAAGATAAAAAAAAATTCCAACCAATGGATAATGATGGATATTGATGGATATTTAAATGGATGTCATTAAAGTGATTTTTTATATACAGCGAGATAGTCTTAATTAATGACCATCGTTAAAGTGGAATATCTCTGAACCAGACGTCATTTATCAAGGTTTACCTGTAGTATCTGCTTCATACTTCTCACAGTAACACTTCTCAGTTATCCCGAGGTAATGCACACGCACTCATGGATGTAGTGTGTGTGTCTATGTTTTTATTTCTCTCAGTTTATGGTTATTTTGTTTGTATTAATAGAATCAACTTTTAGTTATAATCAAATTCTAATGAACATTTTGATGGCATAGAAATTTTTAAAATCTTCAAATACCAACCTGCCTCAAGATGGAACCTTGATTGTTAGGTGTCACTCACTATGTGTGCACAAGAAAAAACCTACCTGTAGAATATATTAAGTAGCTTACTTGCTAAATTTCCATTATACAAACTGAGAAACAAAGTCATAAGCTTACTTCTTGATGTACAAGGTCTCGTCTCAGTAGTTAAGTCACTGAAGAAATACAATCCTGATTTCTGAAATGAAAGGGGAGAAAATATTCTATAATTTTAAAACAAGAATTCAGTAAACTTTGAAATAAGATAACAGGTTAATGGAATAAGAGTTTTATTACCTTACACAGCTATCTGGTTGTGTACTAGTGTGGATCAGTCTTTCATAACCTGGTGTGTCTTTTGCTCCATTAATACACAGCCCACTATCATCTATGTTAAATACCTGCTTAGAGCCATATCTTCCTTCTTCTGGCCAGGAATGCAGGAACACTTTCAACTGCTTCACCATTACCACAGCTTGAGCAGCCTCACCTATCACTGGGATGTTATGTAAATTATGTCTGTACCTACACTTATAAATGCATAAACTATCCCTGACTTGTGGTAAATGGATAAACTTCTCACACACATTGTCCTTCAGATGTTCTTGTAGGTTTCTGACATTCTGCTGAATGAGACACAAGCTAAGGGGCACATTCTGTCCATATTGGTGGTCACTCCAAATATTCAATAATCGTTTCTCCATAATATTCAGGCGCTGTACATGTGCTTGTACTGCTCTTTGGTTGTACTTCAAGGTGTCACACGCTTACAACTTTCTTTGATTTATCTGCACTGATCGTATTATCCTCCTTACATGTAGTGACCAGAACTTTATTACCATCTAAACATAGTCTTTACACTGTGACTTTGTGTTGTGTTGATGTGAGCAAATAATCGAGCATAATAATGAAGTTAATATACTGTACAGTCATAGAGTATACCACTGAATGTGTGAGTGACTACAGCAACCTGTGGTGTAATGGTCAGCATGCTTGCCTAACAAGCGAGTGGATCCAAGTTTGATCCCCTGGCAGGGTGAAACTATGAGCAAGTTTCTTTACACCATTTGCCTCTGTCTACCCAGCAGTAATTGGGGACCTGGATGTTAATCGATTTGCGGATCGTGTTCCGGGGTAATGGTTAGCCAGTGCAGTTGGCGAATTTTCCGGTCTTCTCGGACTATTCCTTGACACTGGGTGATGCAGCTCATTAACTTAGGGTGTCGTTGCTGTGTTAGCGACAGCTTCTACACCTCAAACAAATTCACGCCTAGGTGTGCACAAATGTATGCATCTCTCGCACACACACACACAAATGGGCATGTTAGCTACTCAGGTGCTCTCTTTCCATGTCCAACAACCAATCATGGACCAGGGACCACTTCCTGTCTTTTTAAAAGTCCACCCACTCACATGATGAGATGGGGCAGGTGATGCACTGCTCTCTAAACTGTTCACACAACAATCCTGCAGCTGCCCAGTACCAGCTGTTGATCTACACAACCTCCACGTTGCTTCAGCTTCCTGGCACGACATAAGTCTTCAGCACCAGCACACTCCTGCACTCCTGTTAAGACAGTCTAGGGAAATGTATAGTACGGTACGTCCTCACCCCTAGGCAGGCTGTGAACAGTGAGGAACCTGAGACAGGCTGGAGGGAGGTCTCCAGTAGGTATATATACTGTACTATTATTTTCATTACAGTAGACCTACAAAATACAAGTACCACAATTTGATACATCACTTATGGTATTTCAAGGTGTCCTAAATTTCTCAAATTGTTTATTATTTTGCAACAAACTTTGTTGTTGTTGTTGTGTGCTTCCTTTTATTTATTTTTATATTTTATATCATATTGGCCACTTATCAGCTTACTAGACGTTTGGGCGGTCTATCAAGTGTTAGTACAGGAGGAAACCTGTGGTGTTTGGTAGTGAGGGTCACACTGTATAACATCCTTCTCACGTGTGTCCGGGCCGAGGATCGAACCCTTGACATATTGGCGAGATTTATGCTGTCCACCAACACCCCAGAAAAACTAAACTACGTACAGTAACAAGACCACTGCATTCATCACTTGATATCAAGTGTTTACAAAGTACATTTAAGAACCTGTACAGGATATTTGTAAAAAAAAAAACTTTAATTTGTATCACTTACGTTACAAGTAAACAATGAGAGGCCTTTCTCCCCAGCCCTCTCAAGGCTTTCACACCTTCTACCAACATTTAGCAGTAAACATTCTTTTACTTCAATGTGTACAGCTAAAAACTACATTAACATTCACAGTACAGTATCTAAAAAACATACATTTATCATGGTCTTTATTTGTAGTACAGTTAGTTAAATTAATCAATAAAAATGTTTGACTCAGCATCACGATTAAAGAACTAACTTTAAGAACTGTATAGAACATAAGACACTTACATCAAACATCTTCATAGCATCGACGTGGTTGGTGGTAGAGGGAAAATTCCAATAAAAACGATTTCGTACTGAACCAAACTCTCCTCGATGAGCCCAAGGTTCACCTGATGAACCTAGAGGAGCAGTTATATATTAAAAACAGAATTAAATAATCAATTTAATTTCATGATTAAACCTTTCTTATCATCTACATGTGTGTGTGTGTGTGTGTGTGTGTGTGTGTGTGTGTGTGTAAGCATGATAATTCAAAAGACTTCATTGTTCCCAACACACCACACTCACGCACACTTTTACTTTCATCGTCTTTACCACTGATCGGCTCGTTACCCACTTGGGCGGTCGGTCAAGTCTCTGTTATGCACTGTTGGCAAGTACTGGGCATGAAATGGCTCCTGAATGTATCTGAACCTGCTCCAGTGTTGGTCAAGTCTTGTCTTGAAACAGCTCACACTCAGTGCTGTCACAACACTCCCCAGCAGATTGTTCCAAGAGTTCACAACTCTCACTCCAAAAAAGTTTGCCCTCACAGTTTTCTGGACTTGTGTCTTCTTCAACCTTGAGCTGTGAACCCTTGTGGGGCAGATGTCCACCAGCTCCAGGTGTGTACATTTGACTGAGCAGAGGCCCCTGAGATGTTTATACACTTCGATTAGGTCGCCCCTTGCCCATCTGTTGTGTAAGCTAGGCAGTTGCAGGTGTTCTAATCTCTCTGGGTAACTGAGGTTCCGTAGAGCAGGCATAAGTCTGGTGGCCCTCCTATGGACGTTTACAATCAATTGACAGTCTCTAGCATTCCTCGGAGACCAGGCAGGGTGACAGTACTTCAAATGAGGAAGCACCTCACTCTTGAAGATCGTTACGAGGGACGGATCATTTAAATATCTGAACGACCTTCGTATAAGACTTA